CGTATGCTCAAATTGCAGTTACAACCAATGTTAATGTTGTTATTAATTGTTAACTTTTGCAGTAGAAAAATGCTCTGATTTGATTGTGTTATAAAAATCTGTAACTAAATTAATGTATTATTATAGTATTTTTATGTAGTCATGTTGATATGAAGACTTGTACATGTCTGCATGTTGATGTAAATACATGTATATGTCTGCAGGTGTGACCGTATATCCAAATTAGACCCATTTTGTTGTTTTATAGTGGATTTACCTTTGTATAAACAAAGTTTTTGGGGCAGTCATGTTTGGTATTCGTTCCAGTTTAACCTGTTTTGTATGCGTTGATCTATTATATACCAGCAAATAGTTGTTTGTGGTCTAGTCATACGGAGTCATGTTGTAGTCTAGTGTTTAATGACCTCCACTGATATAGATGAATAATGTTGACTGAGTTGGTAAACTGTTAATTACAAGACAGTTTCTGATTATGTAGTTAAATAACCACAATACCATCATGACTATATGTGACTAGGCCTGAATATGTAGTTATGTATTTATGTAGCCACATTACCACATTAGCATGGTATGGATTTACCCCATACCACATTACCACATTTGTTGATGTTACCCCATAGCCACATTTACCACATTACCACATTACCGCAGGATTGATGTTACAAAGTCATTTAAACCGAGAGACGGCTTGGCATTACGATGGTTCGCAGAAGATAGCGTGTGTTATCAGACACAGTTAAAAGTGAAGCTGCTTGAGTGCTTGCAGGGTGAGTCTTCGGTCGACGTTGAAGATGCGATCCGCCTAATAATTTTGCTCCTCATGTCTACAGTTTTCTTCAACACATATGCCGAAATAGTTGCATGGTGGATGTTCAAGTACGTGCGAGACATTGATCAAACGAGGGCGTACAACTGGCCAATGGGTATAACAGAGTTCCTTCAGAATCAAATACACATTGCAAAGGAACTAGACAAAACAAAGGGTTGTATTCCACTAATCCTGGTTAGAATCTTTTACTTCAATCTTTCATCAAATGTTAGACACATATCATTTACTAAATAAAAAAAACTGATTATTCCTGTTGTTTTTTAAAACTGCAGTATTTCATATGTGAGCGAACCAAACTTGTTCAGCCTGTCACAGAAAATGCATTCCCTCGATTCCGGCGTTGGGTAATACAAGAGCTGGCTAATGTTATATCAACTACAGCCATAAGAGACATTCAACCCGAGGATGTGAATGACCAACCTTTGGTGCCAACACATACAGAAACTCAAGTCCTAACCGGGCATTTAGCCATGCAAGAGAGCAGTGACGATGAAGCCGATGATACATATGACGACAGTACAGACAGCGAAGAAAGAAAAGCAATGGCTTCTTCTGCACTTCACGAAATTGTCAACCAGATGAGCACCGAAGGTGACAATAGCATTGATCCATCGCGCAAGATGACACCAAAATCAGGGAAAGGATTGTTGTTGATAGTGAAGCAGATGACGACCCTACTCCTGACATAGATGTCCCTATTGTCGTATGGCTGAAGCAACAGTACAGAGAAATGCAACAAGAAGTAGATAAACTGAAAAAAGAAATTGAGGCATGCCATTCTCGTGAATCATCCCTCCGACATCAGGTTACTCAGCTAACGAACGAAGCAGATGTACTGAGGGGTACAATCGCAAGACTCGAGTCACAGAAAAAAACATTGCAGTCACGTGTGGACAGGTACATTTTAATTGTCATATACAGTCATATTGCCAACATATAAAATGCAATCCCATGTTTCTTGGATATTTGGGCCTTTTTAAAAAAATACATCTTAAATCATCATCACATCGCCCCCCCCCCCCCCCCCCCCATTATCAGATGTGCATTTTGAAAAACATTCATGTTCAATGCTATCATTTTGGTCTGTAGTGCATATTCACATGACTATTTAAATATGTATAGTCATATTGTGCTGACTTCTTCTTAAGTATATTTTTTTTTTTGTATTCATATTACATAGTCACAATCTTTGGTCGGTTAATCTTTTCAACTCGCAGACTCAATGCTATACCTTCACCAAGCAGTCAGGAGAATACAAAACATGTCATAATACTAGGAAAGCAAGTAGACGAAGTGAATCTGAAGTTAGCAGATGCCATGAAGTATATCAATGTGCAAAACTCTGAACTGTCAACCTTGAAAACAGAAAACTCACGCATGGCAGCAGAAATCCAACAACTGGAAGAAGTCCAGGTGAGGATGACGTTACTAGGTAACACGGCTCAGGTGCTGCTCGATGAAAAAAGGGCACTCCAAGACAAACTTGCAAAACTTGAAGAGGAACGAGGGCTTGGAAATAACGATTTGCCATCGTTTGAAATACTGACACCAACGCAAACATCCATTGCCCAGAAAAATAAGGATCTTGACGATTCACACGCGCAAAACATCGAGCTACATGTGCGTTTGGCAGAGCTCGAAGCAGCAAACAAATCGCTCGTCCAGAAGCTAGCAAATACGACGCCAAATCAATCTGCACACCACCAATCCCGAAACTTAGTCAATCCCGCCTGCGAAAAATCCCATTCATTGCTGATGGAAGATGTGCAATTGACAAATATGAGTGAGTCCGTCGCTCAGATATTGTTCCTAGAAGCTGAAAAATACTATTCAAATCAGCAGAAAAGGAACATATGGCGACCATCAAAGCAAGAGATGAAAAAATCTCTGAACTCGAGACTATAATTGATCAATATTCCAGAGCACTTGACAATCGTCCACCAGTCATAGAAGTTCCAAAAATAGACTTCGAAATATGTGAGAAAAAGAACCCGAAGAATCTGAAATCTGTTATAGGGAACCGTACAAGATCCAAAAAGCCAACTGTAACACCTCGCAGTACAAAAAAAATGCGCCGCGATTTGAGGCACAAACACGAGCTGACTTATACTGAGATGAGTGATGGTGACCAAAAAGGGTTAATGCTCTGGAGGATGAACTCTTGAACGGAGAGTAAGACATTAATCATTTTTTTTTTTGCACTTTGTTTATGTAGTGTATGTTTTGTGCACTCTAACCATCTCCCTCGTCTTGACAATTTATTGCAGCAAATCAATATGGAAGCATGGTACTACACATATACTTATATCTGACATATTCCACTTGCTCAGGCTCGAACAGACATCGAACAACGTAAAGTTATATTACAGTACATAATAAATTTTATTTTACAGTCACATTAAATTTTATAATAGTCACATTAAACTTTTCAGGTCATAGATGGTTGCTGCAAAATACTCATGCACCAACAAAAGATCGGATGTTACACAACTGCCGAAGGAAATGAACTTGCCGGCTCAACTTTTGTGTTTAACAGCCTGCTACTGGTGCATATTTTACTTTCACCTCTATTTTCATGTTTTAAAAATATTAACATAACTTATTACCAATTATTGCAGACTATGTCGAGGCATACAAACGACAAAACTTTTGATATACCGGCGGACATCGGCAAGCACAGATACTTAATATTCCCATTGCTGTCGGTTGGCAACCTCGGTACTTGTGCTGACCACTGGACAGTACTAATATTGGACTGCCACCTAAAAGAATGGCGATTTTATAACTCATTACGCCCACGTGATGGAATAACAGACAAGTACTTGAAAGATGGCTCTGATATGGTACGTTATTTATTTGTTTGGTTTTTTAAAGTAAACACTATTCCATATATATACATTGACATACTATTCCAACGCACAGAAAAAACTTGTCGAGTTCAACGCATCTGCATTGGGTATATCCGCAATTCCACAAAATGCACCATTGTATGCAGTGGCCGACTCACCCCAGCAAAAGCCTGCAACAAACGATTGTGGCATAATCATCTTGTACATCATCCAAGAGACATTCCTGCAGCAGCAAATGATTATAGAAGAGGCGGAAGAAGGTGTCGTAGATATGCGCAGGACCATTGTTGAAGCATTTTTACACTGCAAACTCTAATATGTTATTCTATTCTATTTTACTCTTCGATAATTTCATTTGACTTCCGTTATGCTGACTTATATGTTTACCAGAACATGCTTTGGTTTTTTTTTTTTTTTTTTTTGTGCTTTCTAGACATTATTAAACAGACCTGAATGTTTATTCTTTCCGATGATCTTAGTATTGACATTTAATTATTGTTCAGACAAATAATAATTTACAAAGCAATCATATTACTATAGAATGTAAACATGACTATATTTAGTAAACTGTACATGCAGTGAGAAAATATGACAATCCTGTAACTATGTTGTGTATAGCACTGGAATTAACATATATATCACAATTATTAAGATACTGTTAAGAATATGGCTACTACGTGACTATGATTGTAAGTCATTAGAACATGAAAGTGGGAAACAACATACAGTATAAGGAAAATTACTTTACATAACCAAAACCCCAGCACGAATGTGACTATTAGTTGAATACATTTTGAATAACAGATGAATGAGGATATATGACTGTTATGTGACTACGGTGAGCAAATTAATAGGCTGAACAATACAGAGGCAATATGACTGCTATGTGACTATGACTGAATAATATGACTAACGAAGATGCCTACAAGATGACAGCACTCGAAACAGTTTGAAACATTAGTAATGAAATTACACATGGAGATAAAACAATCAAAAAACTCAGATAAAAATATTAAGCAAAATAATTTCACGTTAAAGTACTACATATGTCTTCTGGTATAAACAAAATAAAACAGTGAAAATGAAATTTATCCATGAAGAAAAAAAACCATCGAACACGTCTTCTTGTTGTGGTATCCAATTCGGTTGCACCGACTGCACTTGATCTTCCGTTTGATCTTCTCTCCCTTCGATGGTATTCTTTTTGACTTAGGCCTTCCTCTACGAACGTGGTGGTCTGGGGGCCCAACAATCGGCATGTTATTGTCAATCGTAGGCTGCACAAACGGCACAACAGGGTGCGAGTAAGTCTCCATGTACGCCTATGTGCGGTAATATTTGTCAACATATTTATAGCCCTCGTTAGTATTATTGAACAACACACAAGCAGCATGAGCACAAGGCAATCCAGTGATCTGCCACATCCTGCACGAACACACTATTTCTTTTATATCAACAACTGCAGTTGGATCGCATAGAACCTCGAACATATGATCCGACGGCTTCCTCGCCACCCATACTCTACCTTCTTGAACCAATTGATCTACTTGCTCATGGACTTTGGAGCTAAGCTCCGTTGTCATCGTCGCCCCTTCCTCAGCCCTTATGTTAATATTTATCATGATTTCACCCCTGATATAATCAATAAAATTCGTGATAGGCAAATCACGAGCACCCTTGATCTTCGAGTTCCACGACTCAGCAGCATTTGAGGTCATCTCATTATGCCGATCTCCGACAAAATACGAACATATCCAGTTAGCAAAGGGTAAGTCAGCAATAAAATTATCTACCTTTGCACCTCCATATTCTTTCAACTCATTCAATTTTTTATGGAACTCAATCTTCGTCGGTGCATATGCACAAGCATTGAATTTAGCAACAATGCCCTCTCGAAAATTAGTCGGGAAGCCTCTACACTTGTGCAGCGGGTTGTTCTGCAAGTGGACAAGGCAAAATATGTGTCCACAATCAAGGCATATTTCATTCACACCACGCAAAATTCCATGGTTACGATCCGATAAGAATGTCAACACACGATCTGTTCCAATAGCAGTTTTTAAATGTCGTAGAAAATACGCCCAGTTGTCATCAGTCTCCTCGTTCACTATTCCAAAAGCGACTGGGAACAGTCTTGAGCAATTGGAAAATTAGAATTAATACTGTAGTCATATATAGTCATGTTAAAACAAAATACAAAACTGGGCTGTACCATTTTCACTGTCTTTTGCCAACGCACTTAGATGGATTCCCCTGTGTTTCCCAGACAATAAGGTCCCATCAAGAGCCAACATAGGGCGACATGCCTTAAACCCCGACAAACTCCCTTCGAAAGCAAAAAAACACCTCTTAAACTTCATTGATACTGGATCGACATCAAGATGGTACACGCTGCCCGAATTGCTACGCCCAAGCTCTTCAAAATACAAGGGCAAGTACGAGTACGACGTCGTAGCATCACCAAACACATGATGCTTCCCCGCAGCAAGTGCCTTCCAAGCAAGAAAATAGCTTATGTTGATGCCGTAATAGAGTTTCACGTTGAGCACGACGTCATTCGGGGCCATTTCAGGTTTGATTCTAACAGCATTCATAATCAAACCCGAAATTAAGTCAGATGTCAATCTATTTTTGCTCGACGAACCAAATGAAGCACCGCACGTATGGTGCTTCTCAAATGTCCTAATATAGAAGAATCCATTTGCCTTCTGAAGCGATGCGTGAATCCTCCACATGCACTTCTTTACCACCCTATATTTGCATTTTGTTGTAACCCTGGTAGGCTTGTTCTTAACATAGTTGAATTCAAACCCAACTTCAACAGCATATTTCCGTAACGCATCTCAAAAATCCACAGCACCATTTCGAAATCCTTGCCCCACTTCCTTTGTAAGGTTTCTCCAGTTAGCGTTCAACAACTGTGTAGTATCAATTACCAATCCATTTGAACGAACCCCCATGTCATTCATCAGATAATTCCCCTTTCAACGAATCCCCATGTCATTCATCAGATAATTCCACCCAACATTCTGTGGAATAGATTGTGGAGCCCTCGCCAACGCTACTGCACAGACGTTGTCTTTGCGCTTCACAGTTACCTCGACACGGTCAAGACCTAGTTGTTGAATCAGCGCTTTCATAAACAAAACCTCGTCATTATCCCAAGCATACCCTCGCCATATCCATCAACATTGTAAGTCATCGATACATCCCTCGCATTCAAACTGCACCACTTATCTGTGACAAAGCCAACAAGGTCTTCTTACACAAAATCACCCCACATATCTTCACCCCAAACGAGCCTCCATACTTCAACACAATCATCAAGGTTGACGACATGTTGTGCAGCACTACACAAAAAAATGAGAATGCGACTACTATGTGACTACTTATAATGAATAAATCTGCACTACTCTGTAAATGCAAATCACATAATATTATGTGAATTCAATTCAACCACAACACACACATTGAAACTTACACTAACATATCAAGTAACGCAAAAAACAAATTACAATAAAATTACACTAGCGTATCAATTAACACAAAACGAACAAATGATTTACAGAGTAGTCACAACGTGACTCTGTGTAAATCGGTATAAAATTTTCAATCAGTAACGATCTTTTACACCTATTAAGACGACCCAAAAAGAAACAATAAAAATCCGGTTCTAAATACACATACACACATATCTGAATACACACACTACAACCCAGCCCCAATTACAAAACCAACAAAATTAATGCAGAACCTCTGACCTTCAAACACAGTTTAACTCCGGCAACGAACACAGAAGGGTTGAACGGCGATGATATCTCTATTCTCACCTAATCTCGGCTGAAATCACGTCTGTATATCAAGGAGAATCACGTCCGCCTATAATAAAAGGAAACGGTTATGGAAAGATATCGTGATTAAATATTTGATTTATTATAAAAAAACTGTTAATAAGGATACTTATGTCTTATTATGTTTAATTGAGGGGGTTTCACTAATTAAGTTTGGAATGTGGGTTTGTGCAAAAGTCTTAAAAGTCAATTGGGTTTTACTCATAATATTTTCCATTTGAGGGGGAATTGCATATTTCCCCTTAAATAATATGGCTATAGGTGCTTTCAGCAAATTAATTAAAAGAATTTAAATCAATTTTCATGTGTATAGACACAAATGCCCTCAAACAATAACGTATTGTAGGAATATGAAAGAATAAATTCCTTAAAATTCCATTTTTCAATTTTTTTCGTAATACAAAATCCACGACAACCACCGCCCTAATTTCTCAGAATCAGCTTGCGGCTTATTATGCGTTGGTTTCAGAACCCGGCGATCAGCGATCAACGGGTGAAAAATTAGTAGAGGGGTTGAGATGGATTCATTATTTGATAGTAAAAGAAAGAGAGATATACGGCCAACCTTACAAAAATTTTGCTGACTTTGGTTTTTGTTGAATATTGACACTTGACATTGTGTCTTTTTTTTTCTTCTTGTCAAAATTGAATTTGTGGTAGAGAGATTTTTCTGGAAATTTTGATTAAGAAATGTCAATTTCCTTTGTTTTCTTAAGGGCAATTTTGCCATTAAAAAATGAAGGGATATAATTTGGATTTATAGCTATATGATCTAATGCTTAGGCAAATTGCCCTTTTTTTAATGGCGCACTAGTATAATATAATCTTTATAATAAAACAAGGGGGAATACAATGCTACACCTGGTGATTTTCACCGGATGACTCTTTTCTTGACATGTGTCCTTTTTTATTTATTTTATAATTATATTTCTAAAACCCATTGGGCCATAACTGAACCCGTAGTGAGAATCTTATTAATTAGGGTGCCTAGTTATATTAACCAGGTGTAGCATATAATTTCCCTAAAACAAGGGACCAATCAAATACTGAAACCATATATATATATATATATATATATATATATATATATATATATATATATATATATATATATATATATATATATATATATATATATATATATATATATATATATATATATATATATATATATATATATATATATATATATATATATATATATATATATATTATACTGTCACCCCATGAGGTAAGGTAAAATTACGAAAAATCCCTCGTGTTTGGGTAATTACAACCACCCGTCAACTATTAATCTTCTTACACGTCCACTTTTGCGGTGCCAAATTTATTAGTGGAATCTTCTAGATTATGTGAAATATAATTCTTCAATTTGTCACCATTTTATGCGATTTGAGCTCCACGCTTTGAAACAAGGTGATCATAAGATCTGTTTCTTGGCTTGTGAATATCAGATTGTGATGCATCAGAAAGTGCATTTTTTGCACAAAACAAGTATAAACTAGAGAACGTTCCACGAAATTTAGAAGGTTATGTTGAATTTGACACCATAAGGATGGACGTGTAAGAAGACGTACTCATGGTTCATGGACGGTTGTAATTACCCAAACATATATAAGAGACTTTTTCGTAATTTAACAACTGGGGTGTGGCAGTAGTTTAACATATATATATATATATATATATATATATATATATATATATATATATATATATATATATATATAGAGAGAGAGAGAGAGAGAGAGAGAGAGAGAGAGAGAGAGAGATCAAATATGTAATATAGGTCCAATGAGATTAGGCAGCTCATGGTTCGTTGTCATTTAGCCATTAGGGTTTCTTGGCATCACATATGTATATTAGATTGTCGAAAACAACACAAGTGACAAATCAAAATCCACTTCATTTATTTAAAGAGTACTACACCCACTCCGTATCTTGAGAGCTACTGATATATCCTGGTTTGACATATATATATTTTCTTGATAATTATTCGTATAATATGGGATTATATATTAGAAAATAGATATAACCATACAAATTAATTAAAATAGATATTTATATCAGAAAACATGCGAAAAAATAAATTGATCGATATCCGTAATTAAAGCGCGAAATCAAATTTTAGTCAAGATCACAGAGGAGACAAGTTTCAATTTTACTTTTGAACTCTGTGAGAATTAAAGTAGGATTATATGCTCTGATCAGTACACTTTCTACTTAATTAAATTTAACTAGGGTTATTTAAACCGGTTTACCTAGTCACTATGGGTTAATCAAATTGTCATCTTTTCCCTAATATACTTGACAATGATTGCTTTCCACTCATGCCCCAAAAAAAAAAATTTAAATAAAAACGACAAAAAAAAAAAAAAAAAAGTTAATACACATAGTACCATTAAAGGCAGCAAAAATAGTGTTAAGTAAGAAAAAAAAATTAAAAAATTAAATGATGAAATAATTAAAACCACATCACTATACCCTTTGGCCCATACCACTGTCCCCTCATTTCAATTTTCAATCACTATATCATATTTCACTTCTCCACATCACTTCTGCACACCAACAATTAATTCCTCAAAATTATTAAAAAAAAAAATTTTAAAAAAAAATTATGTTGAATGATCGAGTAGGTGGAGAAGGATCATCATCATCATCATCAGCTCAAGCAGCTTCAGCCGATCACCATCAGCTCGAGCCGCAGCCGCCGCCTGCGGCGGCGGCTGCTCAGCCGAGCCGGTACGAGTCCCAGAAGAGACGAGACTGGAACACGTTCGGGCAGTACCTGAGGAACCAGCGTCCCCCGGTCGGCCTGCCGCAGTGCAACTACAGCCACGTGCTGGAATTCATGAGGTACCTCGACCAGTTCGGGAAGACCAAAGTCCACGGGCAGGGCTGCCCGTTCTTCGGGCAGCCCGAGCCCGCGGGGCCCTGCGCCTGCCCGCTGAGGCAGGCGTGGGGCAGCCTGGACGCCCTCGTAGGGCGGCTCAGGGCGGCCTACGAGGAGAACGGCGGGTCCCAGGAAACGAACCCGTTTGCGAACGGGGCGATAAGGGTTTACCTGCGCGAGGTGAGGGATTCGCAGGCAAAGGCTCGCGGGATTCCGTATAAGAAGAAGAAGAAGAGGAGGAAGCCTAATAATAGTAGTAATGATCAAGGTATGAGTTCAACTACTTTTCATCAGATGCATCAATCTCCTGGTGTATGATTATTATTGTCAAATGGTAATTTTTTTCCTATATATATATATATATTATATATATTGATATATGATCGGATTTATTTATTTGTAAGATTTTCTTGAAAATTTTATGATGAGCCAAATTGATGTTTGGTGTATAAATTTATAATAATTATTCACATAATTGTTAGTTTAGTGTAAGTATACATGTATGTATATAGATCTAGTCTAAAATCAAGAAATTAAATCCCCAGGTGAAATTACGTATGGATTCTTGAAGAACCCTAATTAATACCAGGCTCTATTTAAACCCTAGTTTTCATATATAATCTGATGATGGAAGTATAGCTGATATATACATACATATAAACACACATATATGTATATATATGAACAACATATATGTATATATATGAACAATTCTTTTCTTCACCAAGGAGAATAGGAACAAAGAGATGCATACATCAAGGATATTTTTTTAATTAATTAATTTTTAATTTAGGGATTTGAATTAAATATAACTCAATCATAATTAAGTTAATTGTTTGCTTTTGTCCAATCCTTTGTCTTTTGGGATTCTGCACGATTTTGTGATCTCGTTGATCGATCTTCTTCAGTGGAATTTCACTGCTAATTCATCATTAAATTATATATGTACATATATATATACTTCAATAATGATATATAATAATTTGTATCAAGCTATGTGGTAAAAAAAAAAAAAAAAAAAAAAATTAAAAAAAAAAGTGAAAAAATGAATAATAATTAAGAAGAGACAAGAGCATGGGAATGTCATATTCTTACCAAAAGAAACATGAAAATAGTCCTATTGTCTTTTGTGTGTATAAGAATCAGATGATGATTCTGTTGCTTTCTCATTTCCATGCAACAGTATTTTTATTAATTATATCACCTCTTTCTTTTACTAACTAACTCCTTTATTACTCCTCTTTCTTCTGATTATTATTATTTTTTTATTTTTTTAATAAATAAAATGAAAAATGGATCTTTTGATTTCATTGGTGATCAAATAACAAATTCTTGCAAGTTGTTGTTTCAGTAGTTTTCATTTACTAAATATATATTCTCAATTATTTAGTAGTCATTTTCGTCCATTTTTTTTTCCAATAATTAGGCTCATTGAGTCTAATCAAGATTAAAGTCATTTAAAATCATTCACCACACCAGAATTTTCAAAATTTTCGACCCAAACGCATTATATAAAAATAAAATAAAATAAAAATTCTCTTGTTTAATATTAGTGCATATAAATTTACATGCCTACCTCTTGTCAATTTACCTTATTCGATCTGCTTGTAAATACATTGTTGGAGTTGCGATCAACAAGTACTGTAAACGAGTATAGTTCGAGTCGAGCTGTAGAATATATATTAATTCTAGAGTAGTTGGTGGCTAGCTAGAGTTGTAGGTTTCAATCTGAAAGGTATTTTATTCCCCAAAAAAAAACAATTATGATATATTTGGGTCACAGGTTTTGAATTTTGATGCTATATTATTTTCTTGTCTGCTAGAAAATAAATCTAGCTGCTATTTCTTTTCTTTTTTTGTCAAATATATCACAAATAAAGAAAATCCAATTTTTAACCATGTTTGATTTTTTTTTTTAATCCGATTTATGATTTTTATTTTGTATATTATGTCATATATGTGTGTGTGTGTGTGTGTGTGTGTGTGTGTGTGTGTGTGTGTGTGTGATTTATTATGTGAATCACATAAGTATATATCTGATCATGCTTACTAGCTAGACCCTTGATATGTAGATTAAATTCCATGTAATTAGATAATAAAATCAAAATACATAAGTATTAAAATATGAAAAATTAACCTTCTAATCAAAAATTAAAACTGAAAATTTGTTGCTTTTTCAAAATTCACCAAAAAATAATTATTTTACATGAGATTTGAGTGAGGACATTTGAGCTTATTAAGAATAAATATAAGTAAGTGTCGTTTTGGGTTTTGGATTAGTGCGCAAATATTAAGAAAACTAATTTTATCTATGAAAGAACATAGAATGCGACTAAACTAAATATGGCCGAATCCCACTTAGATGGACATTAATTCAGGAAAAGGTTGTTGGACTCGTTTAAATATACAATCTATTAGATTTAATGTCTAACATATGATTAATGAACCATTCAGAGAATCACAAAGAAATCCATTAACATCAATCAAATGTAGCTTATCGAACAAAAATATATGTCCAAACTTAGTTTGACATTTTAACAAATTGAGCTCAAATATTTGATCGAACGATCTTGAATCGAGTAGTTTAATTTGATTTATAGTCATAAATACAACTGCAATCATATATCGGTAGATATTTCCGACCGGAGGCAAAGCCACGTCTTAGGCTACAAATATTACCCATATTTAAGGCCTCAAAATTCTAAAATTAAATCTCGTTTTGGACAACTTTTGTTATGTCATATTATCTGACACTTCAGAGCTTCAATGAGACATTAATTACCACTTTCTCAATATTGTTCTTATCATTTTTAATTAATTAAGAGATAATTAGTTAGAAATAAAATTAACTGTAAGAGTATTTTAGTCGCATTCTATATTCTTTCATAAAATTAGTTTTCTTAATATTTGCGCATCAATCCAAAGCCTAAAACGACACTTACTTAAAAACGAGCAGTAATATATATATATATATATATATATATATATATATATATATATATATATATATATATATATATATATATATATATATATATATATATATATATATATATATATATATATATATATATATATATATATATATATATATATATATATATATATATATATATATATATATATATATATATATATATATATATATATATATGCCTCTATTTATTGAAGAAATATTTAATAATTATTTCTTAATGTCAGTGATGATATGTACTAAGTATCATCAATAGATTTTCCATTTTCTCGATGATGATTTCCACAACTTATTAACAATGATGATGTAATGATTTTGGTTATTAAAAAAGAAATGCCACTACATGTGTTAATAATTGCTAATAGTGTACATAATTTTGATATTACTAAAATTGCCGCAATAGTGTCACCTTAATTACCCATCATAATTATTACATTGAATTTGTAAAAACCATCGTTATGTGATGTCAGAATAAAAGTTACTGTAAGTACTTAATACATTACAACCACAGTAATTCTTCAGTTTACATCGTGTGATCATAATATATAGGCCCAGTAAATATAGCATATGTAACACTTACTCCTCTCAGTATTAATTATTTTTTATTTTAAAATATAAAATATAATAATAATTTTAATATATTTCAACTATGATTGGATGGAATTATACAAAACTAATTTAAATAATTTATCAAAAATATCAAATGAAAAGTCATGCAGTATTTAAAATTTGAAAAACAAAATTGTATTTCTTTCGTAGAATGAATAAGATATAACAACCTAATAATTATTGGATCATGTAAAATTGAAAAGAGACTAAAATTAAATTATTGGAATTTTTTTTTAAAAAAATAATATATATTGTCTAGTAATGCATGAAAATACATTTTTAATAAATTAATGAACTAAAATATATAAAGATGCTTAAGATTACAATTCATTATGTATTGATTTCTTAAATCGGTATGATTATATTCGATTCATTGGTCCGACAACAGTTAGATGTTATTTATTAAATATGTGCCCAAAGCAAGATAACATTTTTTAATTTTTAAATATTGTATTTTTTAATTGCATAATTTATTTGTTCCTTTTAGTTATTCCTTTCAATAAAAGAAAAAATTTCAAGGTATTAAAACTTAAAATACAAATTAAATAGTGCTTGAGGAGTAAGTGTTACAAATGATATTTTAAAGGGGTAAAGTGTTAAATTGTGTATTTTAAGGGGTTTAAAGTGTATTTAACCCTAATATATATAGATATACGTATGTATGTATGTATATATGCACGTGTGAATGCAGCACGTTTGTTTTCGGCATGATTGTACTGTTTATACAGTCATAGGCACTCAATTTCCTTTGTACGAAATACAAATGTAGGGCTCCTGTCAGGTTAATTCCTGAATTTAATTTTGTTGAAGAATCTATTTTGATTTCCACGTCAGCGATGCGAGTGTCAGTAAAACTTATATAAACAATTTATATGTGGAATTAATACACTCTTTAATTAAGTTGATTTATTTCTATTTGAAAACTCCAATATATGATCTATAAATAATTTACTTTTTCTCCATCAACAAGTACATAATTATGCAATTCACATCACACGTGTAGATTCGTATTATATTGGAATCAATACTAATTTGATTATTGAGTGTCTATGCCTAAAACTTGGACATTGTATAAAAAAAGTAACGTCGATTACTTTTTAGTTTAACCCAGACCAAAATCAAGAAAATCGCACACTGGGCACCCTATCAAGAATCTGGCGAGTCTTCTAAAGAAGAAATCGACGAAGTGGAAAATGGCAGACGACGAATGAATAAATTTTAAATTTTTTGTTAGTCTTTCGACTATTTTGTCGAAACATGTTTTCATTGATGTTATATCTACAAAATTGGACTAATGTGTTGTGTTAAGAATAAGTACAGAGTCATGTATCTCTATTATTTCTTTGTTTACTTATTCTTCTAGTTTTTCGTTTTGTTTTATATTTTGATTCTGCAAACTTAATGTGTCTAAGGGTATCTCCAATAGAGTAAGCAAATCGGGTCTCTAAATTCTATTTTGGAGATCCATATAAAGACTTGGTGGAATCTTACAGTCTCAAAAAAATAAAATTCTACAATGGAGGGCTCTATAATTTGCAATCTCTAAACAAAGTCCTACGAAATATACACAGAGTCTCCAAACAAAGTCCTATTTTTAGGAATAAGTTTGGAGATTTTGCAAAGACCTGAAAATTTAGAGCCCATTAAATTTCTTGTTGGTGTTGAATTTTCTTATACAATTTCTATATTTTGAAGCCAAATACAGTTTGTTTACTCCATTGAAGATGTCCTAAGGATTCAAGTTTAGATTTCAACTGAGTCAGTGGATGGGGAAGCGAAATTTGTTTATCAAGGCAATCGAGAGAAAATGGAGTTGGTGGTATGAATAGAGTCGAAATATTTAGGAGTTCTTCGCTTTTTCATTTATTAAATTAATCATTTTATTTTTCATTTTTTGAAATGTTAATGCAGTTTTGTAATTTTTTCTCTATTAATTTTATAACTATTCTTTTTACTGCGTATTTCAATGGAACGATTTTCCATTTTTCCACTTTCTTTGTTATTCTCCATTTTCGTTAATGATATTTCTGTAATTTTTTTTTTCTTTAGGAAAACGTTCAGCAACCCTAGAATCTTTGTAATTATTTTTTTAAATTTTACATATCTTCTAATTTTTCTTAACATTTTCCTCACATATGCCAATTTTCAATGTTATACTTTTATATCATTAATTTTCTCACTTTTAGAATGTCACCCGAGCATCGCAGGAGAAGAAATACTATTTTAAAAAAAATTACAATAACTTTAAAAAACTAATTTCATTTTTTTTTTGTTTACAATCAAGTACAAAATTCTGAAACTAACTAAAATATTTCCAAATTCAATTATAATTTCATCTTTTTGTTTTTTTCCCCATTTCTTATTATTTTCATTTTCGTTTTTTCTTTGTAGCTTTTTTTCCGAGAATTAACTATAAAATCATTAAAAAGAGAGAATTATACTTTTGGTCCCTCATGTTTGACCCGATTCCGCTTCTGGTCCACGTTGTTCCAAAGTAAAAAACATTCACCTCCAAGGTACAATTTTAAAAGATTTTGGTCATCGCCGTTACATGTCCGTTTATTACAAGTAACGGAAAACACTTTTGGGGTCCAAATTGAAATTTTAAACGTTTGGGGCTGAAAAATAATTAGAAATTTGAAATATACTACTTATAATTAAAATTTTAATAATATTAAGTCTGAATAAAATTTGTTTAGTTAATTTCTTTGTTTATTATTAAAATTTTAATTATAAGTTTATAATTAAAAATAAATTGTTTAGTAAATTTATTTTTTTATTATTAAAAATTTAATTATAAGTAATATAATATAATAAATTAAGAATAATTAAAAATTATTTGCTTAGTTAATCTCTTTGTTTATTATTAAATAAGTAGTATAATTAAAAATAATATCAAGTATAATTAAAAATAATTAGTATAGTTAATTTCAACTTTTATAATTAAAAAAATAATTATAAGTAGTATAGTTATACTAATATTAAGTATATTAAAAATAATTTGTTTAGTCTAATTTTTTTTAATCATAAGTAGTATATTTTAAATTTCTAATTATTTTCCAGCCCCAAAAAAAGTTAAATTCTAAATTTGGGACCCAAAGTAGTGTTTTCTAGCCAGTAACGACGGGGACCAAAAGTGTTCAAAATTGAACATTTCCTTGAAGGTGAACTTTGTTCAGTTTGAAACAAATAGGGGACCAAAAATGAAATCATGTCAAACATGAAAGACCAAAATTGTAATTCTTCCTTATTAAAAACAACTAATTTTTGCATTCTATCTTTTTCCAAATCAAATATGAGCCCATCTCAAAAAACTCGTAATCACTTTAGAAAAACATTTGCAATAACACCTAAATAAGACCAACTTAAAAATCCCCCTTCTCCTCCCTATAAGATGAAATAAGCGGCTTCTCTTCTTCCCCTCCCTAATTTTTCGGGTTTCTCTGCTAAGTACATAATCGATTTCTTTTTTTTTTTTTTTTTTTCTTTCCGTGATCTCTAACATAATTTCTGTTAAAGGAGGGGGATAATCGATTTTTTTTTTTTTCGAAATCCCTAGCATAATTTCTGTTAAGAAGGGAGAGAATCATAATTTCTGTTAAGGAGGTTGAGAATCGTTTGTTTTAGATAATCGTTTTTTTGGGAAGCTAATTTCCCGGGAAATTCTATTAATTTAGCGAGATAATTATCGTTGCGATCCAGATAAACTATTATTTATTTCATTGAGAATTAATTTATCGAGGTCGTACTGTAATATTCGAAATCACTGGTTATGGAGGAACAACAACACAAAAGAATTCGGCACGGGGAGCAAACTCCGAACTCGGTCGATAGACTCAGCGATTTGCCGGACTCAGTCCTCTGTCACATCCTCTCTTTTCTCCAGACGAAGATCTCCGTTGCAACAAGTATTCTTGCTAGAAGATGGAGGTTTCTCTGGTGTTACGTCCCCAATTTACATTTCCATCACGCCAATGAGGACTGCATCAACAGCGTTTTCCTTCTACATAAATTGCAAACTATCAACACCTTCCGATTTACCGATTTCCGGGATGAAAACGATCGAGTCGAGAAATGTATTACGTTCGCAATCGAGCGCAACGTGAAAAATATCGATATCTTTCTGTGCATGGCCAATTTGCCTCGATGCATCTACACATGCAAAACCCTAGTTGATCTGACGATCAATAGCATTGATTTACTCCCCGAGAGCGGCCCCGTGTTCCTTCCTCTCCTCAAGAAGCTTCATTTATTCTACGTTCACCAGAACGGATACGATACCCTTCTTTCCGGATGCCCGGTTCTCGAGGAGTTGCTAATCCACTCGTACACCGATTACGCGTCTTTTAAGATATCTTCTCCCACAATCAAAAGGCTCTTGATTGATCTTCATTCCGCGGGTGGAGAATCTAGCAACGAATCCAATTTCGACTACAAACGTTGCTACTACAAGTTGGAGATAAATACCCCCGCCCTTGTTTACCTTTATTTGGCTGACAACTCTGGCCAGCATATCAAATGTGGGCCGCTAAACTCCTTAATCGAAGCAAATATCGAAGCAAATATCGATATTGACGGTTATATAGATGACGTTGTTTATGCTCGATATTTGGTGGAATTTATTGATAGGCTCCGTAACGCCAAGTTCCTAAAGTTGAATTTATCGCATTATACGAAGGTTTGTGTCCGTTTACTCCTTTTTTTTAAGCTCGTTGTATATTTTTTTCAAGTCATGTTAATCTTATATTTTGTTCTTCTGCTCGTCTTTCTAGTATATTCAATCAGCACTTTGTGCGAGGACGATGAGTTTTCGTAACTTGGTCAAACTCGAGTTCACTAGTGAATGCCTTTTTTCCTTGAAGTTCCTCGAAGATGCTGATAATCTCGAAATCCTTATTCTCGAAGAGGTTTGTTTGAGGCAATCAAATTTCTTAGCTTTTCTCTTGTTTTTTGTTTTTTTCTTGATCGATTGATCGATGATTGGTGATATAATTAGGTTCATAAACAAAGAGCGATCACGGGCTGTATGGAACCCGAACAAGTGCCAACATGCCGATTATCGCGTCTTAGAACTACAAAGCTCGTTGGCATCAAAGGTAATTTGTACGAGTTAGAAATTATAAGGTATCTTTTGAGGAATGCGAAAGTCATGGAGAAGATGGAAATAGTATATTCCCGTTGCCTTCTTCGTAACCAAAAGAATAATATGATCGAGGAAATCTCGACATTTCAACGAGGTTCCAGTGTATGCGAAGTTCGATATTTGCAGGGGTAGCTAACATAGTCAAGTTGTTTCAAGTTTCAATTACTAAATATATATTCTCGATTATTTAGTAGTCATTTTCGTCCTTTTTTTTCCCGAATATTTAGGCTCGTTAGCTCTGATCGAGTCGATTAAAGTCGTTTAAAATCATTCATCCACGCTAAAATTATCGACCCAAACGCATTATTATACAAAAAATAAAATAGAAACTTTTCTCTTGTTTAATATTGGTGCATATAAATTTACATGCCTCTCTCTTGTCAATTACCTTGTTCAATTCGATCTGCTTGTAAATACATTGTTGGAGCTGCGATCGACAAACGAATCAAATGAGCATTTTATTTTCACCGTTCAACGTCGATCCCAAATAGCTCCGTCGAGGAAAAGAAGGCCACAATCCACGGTGTCCGCAAATACTGCTCTCGTCATCGTGAAGAATCGTATAATTAGAGCTGCTCACGTTTCTAAAATAACACGACTTGTCGCCCGTGTAACGGTATTCTTGTCGAGTGCTGCCCAATCCACTAACCACTAAATTCCCTTTCACGAGCATAGATCCCTCCGCATTTTGCAGATTCCTTAACCTAGTTGTGTACAATATTCCAGAATCGGAAATCTTGCTTCTCTTCTCATCGATCCCCAAAGTCACATTAGCCACAGAATCGTAACTCCCGTTTCCCCTTTCGATATTATCCGAATGGAGATAAATACTGAACTTCTTGATCGATTTGTCGGAGCGAACAGAAGAGGAAGACGAAGATGAAGGCATCTTCGTATCGACACTTCCGTTGAAATTTATAACCTGATTTAAAATCTGCAGATTCCCGTCATTTCCCAACACCATCGTGTTGCTGTATTCAAACCCTTGCCTCGATTTTGTTTTCACCACTCCGTGAGATGAATTGACAAACCCGCTCAAAATAATCGAGCGGGTAACATTCGTGACGAACAATCTCGAGTGGACAACGAAATAGGGGAGTGGATATACTCCAACAACTTCCCTTGCGTTTTCTCGCTCTTTTTATCCAACCAAAGATGCAAATTCGCGTCGAGGTACCAAACGTTTAACGCGTTCGTCACGCCGAACGAGAGCTTATGGCTCTTCCCATCCAATATTTCGCCCAACAATGGGGTGATTTCGATATCGTAAGAAGGGAGATCGAACGAACCGATTCCGGTAATCGGTCTCCACAGCAGGGGGTTTACGCCCCCCGTGTAGATCACTGTAAACGGCCAAACTGCACCGATCACTAAATCATCCAAGCTAACTACAACCTCTCGAAAGGGCCCGTTTCCGGCGTACCCAGTAAGGTTATTCGCAGCAATGTACTCGTTCGGAAAATTACCGAACCAAAATTCGTCGTTTTCGTGGAAAGAAACGTAAACCTCCAACACAGCCCTGTATGTATTTTGTGGAATCTCGAACTCCTTCGACTCTACATCGGTCGAATTCTCGATCTCGAACCAATACCCGTCGTTCAACGGCGGAGTTCTGGAAATGGGCAGTATCAAATCCGCCCCGGATCCGGATCCGAACCCTAACCCAATCTCTTCTTCGGCAGGGTAAAAATGGAAGGTGAGATTCACGTGGTAGACGCCGGTGTAAGTAGAATCAACAACGTTACCTAGATATACAGCGAGGGTTTGATTGGTGGCGAGCAGAGATGAATACCTGGTGATGTCTTTCTTAACGGTCCAGACAATGCCGGTGGCTCTGGGCTCGGCGGTGCAGCTACGGAGAATCTCGACGCCGCCGAGCCAGACGCCGAAGATCCTGTCGAATTGCCTCCCCTTGCAAGCGGCGGTCCACTCGAGGACGATTGTGGAGAATTTGTGAGATGGGCAGTGGAATGGGGGTTTGTAGTCGGCGAGGACTGGGGGTTGGCCGTAGGTGAAGGCGAAATCGTGGTGGAGGAGGAGATGCGAGCAGGGTTTGGTGGTGGGGAGTGGGATGGGTTTTGTGACCTCGAAGAAAGTGGTGGGCGGAGTGCCGTCGTCGTCGGCGGAGGAGATCAGTAGTGAGGTGGGCTCGGAAATGGGTTGTGATCTGAAGAGGGATTTGGTTTGGTGGAGGTTGGCGGCGGAGAGCGGTGGCTGGTGGAGGAGTGTGACGGTGGAGAGGAGGAGGAGAAGGGAGGAGAGAGTGGAAGCCATTTTTTTTTTTTTAACTGAAGAATGGTAGTTGGAGTTGTTACCTTTTGTGTTGTTTTAATGGAAGTTGGAGTGGAAAACAATGCTGTTGGAAATTATCCCACATTTTGTAGCTTCTTCTCAAGTTAAACTTACATTAAATTCCACTTTCTCACCTTCTATTTTAGTTCGATATTACTTTACCCTCTTCTACTCTCGATTGCATTGATTTGCTCCCTTGTACTTGAAAAAAATGTCTCAATGTAGCCATCCCCGTCAGTTTTTAAACATTTGACGTTAACACCGTTTGATCTAAGTCTGAAAATTACAAAAAAAAACTACTTCTCACAGTTTAAATAATTATTAAAAATATAAATAAATTGTGGTTGACGTCGTGGACTATGTTTTCTCGTTGTCTTGAATTATTTTATTTTTTTTAATAATTATTTAAGCTGGGAGATGTGGCATTTTTGTAATTTCAGAGCTTACATAAAACGGTGTGAAAGTCAAATGTATGAAAACTAACAAAAAGGACCACATTGAGACATTTTTCAAGTGCAAGGGACAAATCGATGTAATCGAGAGTAGTAGGGGGTAATTTGATATCAAGTCAAAGTATAAGGGGTGAAAGTGGAATTTTCCCCTTAATTTTATGCGTGTAAATTTACTTGATTAGAAAAACATATCTAAACAAGAGAGTAGTCAATTTTACATCACATGTGGTTATTTCCATTTTCCAGCTCCATTGCTATTTATCACTTTCTCTCTCTAGAAAAATGCAGCTGCAAACCCAAAACCTCTCTCTGTCTAAAACCCTAAACCCTCATCATCTCTTCCCGTTTCCCTCCAAATTATGCAACCCTCTTCTCAAAACCCTGCCCACTTTTCACCCTTTCGCCGCCGCAACCCAAAATCCCCTAAAAATCCACTCGCAGATAGCACCTCCTTACCCCAATTCCCGCCAAAATGCCAGCAATCGGCCGGACCTCCGATGCTTCGCCGGACGGAGCAAAGCCAAACCAGGAGACTCCTCCTCCGGCCGCATCGAGGGCGGCGCGGACATCCGCCGCGAGGCCAAGCGCAACGCCCGCCGGAGAAGCAAAAAAATGGCGGAGAGCCTGTTCTACAGGCTGAAGAACCCCCACAAGAATCACCCGGACAACTTCTCCGAGGAGGAGCTCCAAATGATAGGCCTCGGCTACGACCGCCTGGTCCGGTTCATGGATAAGGACGACCCCAATTTAAAGCACCCACACGACTGGTACAAGTACGGCGAATTCGGCCCCTACTCTTGGCGCGGGGTGGTTTTAGGCGACCCCATTCGCGGGAGCTTCTCCGACGAACGCGTCACCATGATCGGAGAAGTCAGCGATCAAGAAGAGTGGGAGAAGATCGAACAGCACGACATGGCGGTGGAGTATCAAGAGAGACTGGATAAGATGGATAAAAACAGGGGATTTAGGTATTTCTGGGTTTTCGTCAGGCACCCGAAATGGACAATTACCGATTCGCCATGGGAGCAGTGGACTTTGGTGAGTGAGGTTGTGGTGGAGGCCGGAAAGCAGAGGTTGGATAAGTGGACTCTGATGGGGAGGCTAGGGAATAAGGCCCGCGCGATGATTACGCAGTGTGCTTCTTGGATGAGGCCCGATATATTGTACGTAAAGAGGCCCGTTTATCAGTGTAGATTCGAGCCTCAAGATGAGTTCTTTTCTGCATTAGGGCCGTTGCTTGACCCTGAAACGGAGGAGGATTACATGTGCGAATTGGTGAAGGAAGATGGGAGCGTGGAGTTTTGTACGTATTTCGCGGGTTTGTGCAAGATTGTGAGGGTGAATCCAAAGGCGTTTGTGGATGATGTGGTGAACGCGTACGAGAAGTTGGGCGACGAGAAGAAGTCCAAGTGTTTGGAGTTTTTGTTGAACAATCATCCGGTGATGCTTTTGCATCCGCAGACCAAGGAGTGGAAGGCAAAATTGGAGGAAGCTGAGTTGGGTTGTGATGCACCGGACAATGATGATGATGATTATGGTGGTGCGAACGAGACGGACAATGAGATAGTTGATTGGGTTGAGGATGATGGGAATGATGATGTCATTGATGATGATGATGATGATGTCATTGATGTTGGAGATGATGTCATTCTTGATGAGGAAGAAGGAGCGGTAGATGATGATAATTTGGAACCGGAAGAAGATGCAAAGTATTGGGATGAGGAATTCAAGAATGCGATTAAGAGCAACGAGGGTATGGAGAAGCTAGTGGGGAAGAGTATAGAGGCGTCTAATAAGTACTACGAGAAGCAAATGAAGTCGATGGAGAAGAAGGAGAATATGGAGGATGGTGGAAATGAATTGGAAACGAGAGGGAAAAGGGCGAAAGTGAGTCCGAGGGAATGGAAGTTGTTAGGGTACGGTCCGTATAGGAAGAGGGTGAATAAGAGTAAGATTCCTCATGGTTTGTTCTTACGAGCAGCTGTTAGGCCATTTACGTACAGGAATCTTGTGAAGGAGATTGTTCTTACGAGGCATGCGATTTTAGAAGGGGAGATTGAGACCAAGAAATGAAAAGCCTTTTGATATGTAAATTAAGTGGACGCATCAATACTGTTGTGATTTAGTGGGAACGAACGAACTCGTTAAACCACAAGTGATGTGGTTCGAAATTGATATTGAAATGGTTTCTTCATTTGCGCTTCCTAGTTTATTTTAATTGATTTTTGAGTTTATTTTTATCTAAATATATAATTTACAATTTCCACAAGCATACGAGAGAGGACACTAAAGTTTACGCCGAACACAAAAGACAGTCCGATATAATAATTAAACGTACACATTACAACAGTTAAGCTATAATGCCAACGAACAGGAATTCAAAGTCGTGGTCTTCAAGAAGGACATATAGACGGAAACCAAATGCTAATTCGAGTCGATGAAGTACTCTTCAGGAACGTAAAATTTGAGGCCAACAGCCTGCAATCACCCACATTTCAAAACAAACACATCTCAACTTCTTAAAGCACATAGTTTTCGAGAATATATCAAATAAAAAATAGACTTGTTTCACGAACCTCTGCAAATTTTATGTCAGCGTCACTGTGATCATTTGGTCTTCCAGCTGCATCGCCAACATAAAAGGATCTACATAACGTTGTAACAAGTAGATAGGTCAACACATGGAAACTCGATTTTATTTTATTATATAAGAAAAAGAAACAAGAAAATTCAGAGCTAAGATCCTGAGAAAGGAATAACTAACTGATCCATGTCGACAGGGAGACCAGAATTGAACTCCTTCTCCATAATCTTCCACATCCCAGGTTTCGGCTTTCGAAAGGGGTCCTCTGGTTTACCAGAACTCACTCCACAGGCAATGAAAACCTGCATTTGATTTAGCTCGTAAAACTACATGCATCATTGAAAACTGTGTGTGTGTGCGCGTGTTCTGTGAACAAACATCTTAAAATGGTAAAGACTAAAAAACCACCTGAATCGGGACCTTCACAAGGTTAATGAAATTTTCAAGCCTTCCAATTTTTGAATCTACAGCAGCCTGTCTCTTATTCTTCCAGCGCTCAATGTTAGATTCATTGGTGAAAATAACCTGTATATACCAAACAATATTCGATATATTCATATCAAAAAAGATGAGGTTGAGATTCAAAAGATATAGCTGAGATAAAAAGGAAACACGACAAACCAGCTTGTAGCCTTCTTTATAAAGAGACTGGAGCTTCTCCGGTATGGAAGGATACATGAGGGACCATGCATCCGCACCTACTCTAAAAGAATAAAAATAAAAATAAATAAACTATAAGAAGTATTCAGAAAATGGCATCCCGAGATCCCGTGTGTTTTTATACCATTCTCATTTACAGATTAGGGGCCCACATAGAACTCAAATTTCCAGTGAAAAAACACTAATAATCAGATATTCAGATGATTTGAAAAAAAAAGTAACAATCAATTAATTGTAAAAAGATTCTCCACAACGAAATAACAGTTTGACCTCATTGGTGACATTAGAGGATCACCACATCACAACCGTTTTATTGGCGCCTGATGTAGTTTAGTTTTAAACATACCATACAAAAGATTTGCAAAACAACACAGACCAGGTTTGCATATTTGACAAACTTTACCGAGTTTCAGCATTTGCAGTATGCAATATCCATCACAATATTTCAGCAAGATGTTGAGGAAAAAAAAAACATACCTTTTCACAGATGTCTTCGCAAGGCAACCATCAAAATCAAAGGCTGCAATTTTTCTTGAATCATGAAGACAATCATCCTAAAGATACAGAAGTTTAAAAATTCACTTCAAATTTCAATTTTTTTCTGATAACAAAATATAGAGGGGAGGTTCTACAAAATTCTTCTGCAAAGAATATATAGAACAAAGTCAGAAAAAATGAGAATTTTTGAAAGAACAGACAAAAATATACAAGCAGAAGTACAAGAGGAAAGTCCAACTGCCAATTGATGGAAATTATTTCAACTGCAATTGCATAAAGAAGACCTGTTTCTTTGTAACTTTTCAAATTGAAACCACCTAGGCTAAGGTGTTACTGAAATGAAGGGAAGCATCCTAAAATATCTAGATCAACTTCGAGCTTCCTGTTTACCAGTAAATGGTATAATAAGAATGATCTTTTAGTGGGAAATGTTTTAGCCATGAATTAGAATAAAGTAATGACTGCATAGAACTATTTAGATGAAAGAAGATGTAACTGGACAAACTCACCCTTTCTAGAAATATGATTGTCTGAAATGCCTTCCATTTAGGCAACAGCGTAGCATCCTGAAAAAAAAAATGAACTCAGAGAAGTTAACTATGGATAATAAAAACTCCAAAAACCGAAGTTAAATGAACTCATATTTTGGGCTACTTTTCAACCTTCTTTTGCTGTAACTTAACCTCGGACACACCGAAGTACTAAATGTGCCTTTTTGTAAAGATTACGCTAATTTTTTTATTATACCAAGATACACAGAGAGATGGACCACGTGGCACCAAAAGTATAAACTCTATAAATAACCAAATATGGAATCTAAAACTAAATTGATATTTTGTCCCTGAAGCTTGTACCTTATACTTCTCCTTAACATCAGAAGCAGATATTACCATCTCCAGCTGAAGCTCGGCTCCTTCCTCAGATGCAAGCTGATAAATTTACCAAAAAATAAAAGGACAATATGAATGTTCACATTCAAATCCAATTTCAGGTCAAGATTTTTGGAGATAACATTAAAAAAGTTCACGTGACATTGATCACGTTGTAGGAACGACAGCTGATGATAGAATGACTAAAAGATTTAGCTCCCAAAATTTACTCCCAATGTGAGCTCTCACGAATTACCATAGCTATCTATGATAAAGGAATACAAAGGTAGAGCCTAAACTAGTGCATATTTCTACCTTTTGCTTCTTCAAATTTCCTTGCTCTGGGTCTTTATCATCATTTTCCTCTATTTCACTGACCTATTGGAAGAGAAAACAGAAGAAAAATTCATAAAAAATTAGAGTCAGAGAAGGATTATGAACAACATTTAAGTTTGTGTAAATATTCATGCAAAAAAAAATGATTTTTAGCAGTTTCTGCCCATCACATAACCAAGACTTCAGACAGATTTTGCTCAAACAACTGCTGTTATGATACATGGTATTTAGAAAATGCAGTTCTTCTTCCAATGCCATCCGACCCATAGAATAAAGCAAGCAAAAAATAAAATAAAATAATGTTGATCCCGTAAGAATCTCAGCTGCGTACTGCTGATACATGATATATCCGACTTATTACTAATTCGGCGAACTGTCAATTCCATAAATAAGTTCCTAATAATAGAAAGTAATACTTCTTTTTTTTCCGTGATAGCCAATTCATACCTTCTCTGATGCCTGAGCCCCTTCATCTAATAGTTTCTTTATGGACTCCTGATCACTGCTCTGCATTTTCATTATTGCAAGATAAGAGAAAGAAAGTCAAAATCATTATAAAAACTCAATTCCCAAGGAATACTAGAAAATTCTATCCCTCCAAGGCCACAGAAACTGAACACATAACTCAATATCTGGAAAGCCCAACCTTTTAAATTTAATCAAAATTGCATCTTAAATTACAGTTGAAACAAAATAAGAAGAAAATAATAGACAAAAAAAAATTATGTAATACTGAAATGTAGACCTTGAGAGATGAGAATCCTTTGATAGACTCAGGGGAGGAAACCGGATCAGAATTACGAAAAGGAAAGCAATTCAAGTGATGCCACTTGGTCATGTCGAATCCTCGGGGATCTTTACTCACAGAACCCAACCTCACCGAACTCGAAGCGATGGATTTCGAGCATATCTTACACGACGAGCGCCCAGACTTTGCGTACTCCACCACCAGTTTTACGGGGGCAGACGGCGGCGCCGACGACATTGCCGCCGATACAGCGAACAAAGGCAATCGACTGGGGTTAGGGATTATTAGGGTTTTCCGACTGGAATTGAGACCGAATGCGAATTTGACAGGGGTTAGGGCTTTGGGATTCCGGATATTGGGAACTATGTTGAAGCAATTGGAGAAATTAAGCATGACATCTTCGTCACCATTTTCTTTGTTTCCCCTCCTTTTTAAGGGTTTATTATTTTTATTTATTTAAATATATATCATTTTTTCACGAGATATTGACCTTTGGTGGCAGGGTGGGGGTGTTTTATCTAAGTTCCCGCCATCTTTATTATTTGTTAAAAATCAGAATTCTACTGAAAATAAAATCGAATCAGGACATAATTATGATAATAATAATTAAAAAAGAAAAAGAAAAAAGAAAAAAAAAAAGGAAAAAAGAAGAGAGAGAAAAAACTTGTTTTAATCGAAATTAGCATTTTCCACATGCGATGAAAGTAATGATTAGTGATATGTATAAGGCTGCGGCTATATGCAAGACTAAAACAACTTGTGCAAGACCAAATTAAATTTTTCAATGTATAAATACTATAATACCCTTACTTGTTAAAAAAATAGAAAATTCCAAATGTGCAAGACCAAAAATTCAAAAACACAAAAAATCCTATCACAAGACCACAAAATCACAAGACCAACTTTCATCTTAATCTTCTTCCAAAACCCATAAGACCTTTCTCCTTCCTCCTCCATAAACCCACAAAACCTAAACATTCAAAATCATCAAAACTCAACAAATCTTACAAAGATGGTAAGTATGGAGTCAGAATACATCAAAATAGAAGATTCTACGGTGGAAGAACCCAAGAAGGTGTGTATTTCGGGCTTTTTTTAGCTAGAATATCGTTTTTCCAAAAAAAAATCCCGCGCAAACGAATTCGACATGTACAGGTCGAATTTTATGGGTAAAAATCGCCATTTAGATGTCGAATTTTAGGCATAAAATTCGACATTTGGCAATGTCGAATTTTGTGCTATAAATTCGACATGTCAATGTCGATTTTTACCCATAAAATTCGACGCTTAAGTGTCGATTTCTAACACAGTTTTTCGACACCTTGGTGTCGATTTTTTACCAGTTTCAGATTTAATTTATTTTTCCTTTTTTTTTGTAAGGTTGGGCGGCGGGGCTTGGGTGGCGAAGCTTTGACGGCGGAGAAGGTGGGCGTAGGTAGGATTTGAGGAGGGGTGCTGTTTTTTTTTTTAATTCACGCATCTTTTTTTTTGGTTTTTTTTTTCCTCATTATTTTATTTGGTCTTGCATGAGAAAAAAAAGCCAATTTAATTTATGTGTATATTTGTCATTTTATCTTAATAAAATAGAATCTTTTGGAATCTTTCTTTAATTTGGTCTTGCACAAGTGATTTAAGTATTGCATATAGCCGCAGCCTATGCATAATCGGGCCAACCCAATGGGCCTACAAATTACTTACCTACTGGGCCACGAGCCCAATATCAAAGACCACTATTATCGAGGCCCAATCACCTTCAAGTAAGATTTGGGCCCGACAATCTCAACTAAACTATAAATAAAGGTTTGAATTCATTCCTTAAGGTAGGTCCTATTAACTGAGCAATACTATAATATGTATTCTCTGGACTATTTCTATGATTAGCACATCTGACTTGAGCGTCGGAGGGGTTTCCGCCGGATCAACCCCGGCTTAGTTCATGTGTTCTATGATCGCAGGTACCTCAGGATCATCAAGTTGTCAAGCTACTGATCTGCTTTGCTCTCCCAGTTCGTTTTCTACACCACCCTAGGTGAGCTACATATTAGCATCATCATTTTGGCGCCGTCTGTGGGAACGATGCAAACCAGATCACGTAGCCAACAAGATCCTCCTGAGGCGTCTGCTCGGAGAGAAAATGACACAGCTAACGACCTCCCACCTCGTGGAGGCTCTGGCTTGCCACCTCCTCCACGTCCCACGGATCCGCCTCGCGAGGTTCAGGTGATCCCCCCTCGGGACCCACCACTCGCAGATCCACCACTCCCTGCTCATCGAATGGTTCAAATAACCGAGGATGCGCTTCAACGCATGATAGCAGAAGCTTCAACTCGCGCTGCCATAGAGGCCGTGACCCAATATATCGCCACGATGGGAGCAAATGCTCCCAACGCGATACCAGCACCTGCTCCACATGTGGAGCCACCTATGGCACCACCGCCATCGACTCCCTAGGGGCTTACATCTGCCCCCAAAATATTTCGCTCGCCAAGGGTTATCGACTCCCTGGGGGCTTACATCTGCCCCCAAAATATTTCGCTCGCCAAGGGTTATCGACTCCCTGGGAGCTTACGTCTGCCCCCAAAATATTTCGTTCGCCAAGGGTTATCGACTCCCTGGGGGTTTATAGTGCCCCCAAAATATTTTGCTCGCCATGGGTCATCGACTCTCTGGGGCCTACTTCCGACCCCCCTCGAACGGTTCAAATAACCGAAGAGGACCTTCAGCGTATGATCGCCGAAACTTCAACAATATGAATTTCTATTTGCTCCTCTAACAGTTCAGATAACCGACAAGGACCTTCAGCATACAACCGCGAAAGCTTCAACTCGTGTTGTCACCTCAGACCATAGGTCTCGAGCGCCTCATCCTACAGTGGGTGGTTAACCCATCCCAAGGTTGGGCATCACCTTTACCTTTTAACCCCAAGTGGGTTCACATCATATCGCAAGAGACGAGTATAATCGTCCTACTCAAAAAATAGAACATCCCAAGGGGTGCACATCAACCACCAAAAAAGAAGAAGAAGAAAAAACAAAAGAAGTTGAAGAAAAAAGAAACAAGAAATAAGAAGAAGAAAAAAGAAGAAGATGAAAAAACACAAGAAGAAAAAAAAAAAAAAAAAAAACAAGAAAAAGAAATAAGAAGAAAAAAGAAGAAGATGAAAAAACAGAAGAAGAAGAAAAAAAGAAGAAAAAACAGAAGAACAAGATGAAGATTAAAAAAAAAAAAAACAAAAAAAAAAAAATCCAAACCAAGCCCCGCGCGCGCCATCACCCAAGCAGCCGGCCACCTTCTCCTCGGGGCGCGCGGGCGTCAGGAAAAAAAAAAAAAAAAAAGGGACAGTAAGCGCGCGTGCACTGCACGCGCGCCAGCAGCAAAAAAAAAAAAAAAAAAGGGGACAGGAGGCGCGCGTGCTGTCAGCAAAAAAAAAAAAAAAAAAGGGGAAAAGGGGCGCGCCTTCCCATGCACGTGCGCGCGCCTCCCAAGACAACGTTGGAGCGCCCGCTCCCATTTAATTGGGCACAACTTTTACTACTCTCCACCAAATTGAGCGTAGATTTCACCTCGCTTCACCAAATCGCGCGAGAATTTCAACGCGCCCCACCAAATTGCGCGAGCTCTCCCGCGCGCCTCACCATAACGCTCACGCTCTCACACGAATAAATAAAAATTATTATTTCTCCACACCACGCCAGCAATTAACGGTACACCACATCACCGATCTACACTCGACACGATCCGGTACCTTTTTCGACTATGCTCCCACATCGAACCGAGAGTGGGGGGCTTGCGAGACAACCCGCAGCGAGACAAATCCCACGAGGAGCCAACTCCCTCGGATCTACGAAACCACAGCGAGATAACTCCCACGAGGAGCAAACTCGCTCTGTCCTACATCCCGCAGTGAGACAACTCCCATGAGGAGCAAACTCGCTCGGTCCTACAACCAGCAGCGAGACAACTCCCACGAGGAGCAAACTCGCTCTGTCCTACATCCCGCAGTGAGACAACTCCCACGAGGAGACAACTCGCTCGGACCTACAACCAGCAGCGAGACAACTTCCACGAGGAGCAAACTCGCTCTGTCCTACATCCCGCAGTGAGACAACTCCCATGAGGAGCAAACTCGTTCGGTCCTACAACCAGCAGCGAGACAACTCCCACGATGAGACAACTCGCTCGGACCTACAACCCCTTGCGAGGAAAATCCCACAAAAAGACCACTCGCTCCGTCCTACAACCCGCAGCGAGACAACTCCCACGAGGAGCCAACTCGCTCGGTACTACGAACCCGCAGCGAGACAACTCCCACGAGGAGCCAACTCGCTCGGTACTACGAACCCTCAGCGAGATAACTCCCACGAGGAGCCAACTCGCTCGACACTACAAATCCGTTGCAAGGCAACTCCCACGTGCAGCCACCTCGCTCGATAATAAGACTCGCTGCGAGACAACTCCCACGAGGAAAGAAATCGCTCAGAGCGACATCAATCCGCACACTCGTCAGTCGCGCGTCATCCAATGATTCTACAACTTCGCTGCGAGACAACTCCTATGAGGAGACAACTCGCCCGAAACTCACTACATAATCGCAAGCTCAAGTTAGCACGATTACAACCCTAGAAACACTTAGAAATATTATGGGAATCTATATAGCCTGGCCAGCTTGATTACTCAAATTTATCTACTTGTTTTCGATGGGTCCTTCATTAAAACGTGGCCACGGTCCAAACATATTTACGACCCACGATGTCTAACAAAGGGCAAGATCCCCATATAAAAATCTTGAGAGCCTGATCCCCTCCTCAAGTACATCACGCACAAAGCTATATGTAAACACATACAAGCAACGCGTCACAACATTGACAATGTCGATAAATAACAACTCCCACGAGGAGAATACTCGCTCTGTGCTACTACATTATCGCGAGACAACTCCCACGAGGAGATAACTCGATCAACTCTATTACCCCGCGACGAGACAACTCCCACGAGGAGATAACTTGATCCGAGCTATTACATCGTCGCGGGACAACACCGACGACTCAAGTAACTTACATCGCGACAACTTGGTTGCGCTACACGCCAACGCGCCTTCACGCCCCTCCGACACACGCTCCGATGCGTTTTCGCACACCATTAGGCCATACGCCATCGATCGACTTCTACAAATTTTACTCTCGACACGATCTGACACCTATTTCAACATGGCCCCCACATCGAATCGAGAGTGGGGGGCTTAATGATATGCATAATCGGGCCAACCTAATGGGCCTACAAATTACTTACCTACTGGGCCACGAGCCCAATATCGAAGACCACTATCACCGAGGCCCAATCACCTTCAAGTAACGTTTGGGCTCGACAATCTCAACTAAGCTATAAATAAAGGTTTGAATTCATTCATTAAGGTAGGTCCTATTAACTGAGCAATC